CAACCTCGGCTACTACTTTAAAAAAATAAGCCTTGAAGCCCTTAAAAGATTCGTTGTATACGGAGAACAGCTTGCGGGAGGGTTTACTAACTCTACCTCGGATGCTACTCCACCCCTTCAGTTCAGGAGGTTCTGAGCCGGTGCGCGAAGTATAAACAGTAAAGAAATGAGAAAACAAAGGCACGGTACAAGGAAGGGACAACGAGTCACAGAGCTGCTCGAAGGCAACAATATAAGCCCAGCCGTTGGGATGGATCTGGGTTGGTGCGAGCAGCAGGTGGTTTAGAAGTTGCACTTTGAATGAAGAAAAAGGAAATCGAATCCCAATCTTCGTCACCAGATCCCGGTAGAAGAAAAAAGAATGTGGTTCCTCAGGATTTCGGCCGGAGCAAACAGGTTCGTCTTCGGCAGGAACGAAGGTGTTGAAATCAACCGGGTTGCCTAATGGAAGCCCGGACACTTCTTCGGTTGTCATCTCAGAGGTAAAACTCAGCACTTCTTCTGTAACCCAGGGATGTTGGGCACGAAGATGATTGGTTACTGACGTCGGACCCTTCTCCGCGGTACTAGTCCCGACCTCTGGACCCTGGTTGGAAGAAGCGATATTCGCATTTGATTCTGTAGAATGAGACTCCATAAATACCTAGAACAGTAAAATGGAGGATTAAAAAGCAACAATAGCACGTAGCAAAAGGGATACGTACCCGAGCTAAACAAACTACTATCAGAGGAACTAGAATCATCAGATGTGGAGACAGGAGCAGGGGTTGGTGAACCCGGAACGTGTGAACAGCCACCTAAAACTAGATTGGCCATGAAGTCATTACCCCTCTCCACAAATTGGGCACCAAGGTATACACAGTTGAAACAAGGCTCAGGGTTGGGAATGCTAGGACGGGAGGAGACTCTCACACTCTGGTTTGGAGATTGAAAAGGTGTAATAGGGCGAACCAGGATGGAACTTAATGAAAGAGAAGTTGCCCTGGACCGGTTGCCCAAGTTATGGGGCTCAACATCCTGACCCCGGGTGGAGGATCCGGAAACCCTTCTACCTCAAAGACGCCTCCCACGACCACGAATCGAGGAGCGAGATGAAGAGGCTCTCCCACGGCCACCACCTCGATAGCCACCTAGCAGAGCAGCCTGCGTTTCTTCCGCGGTCCGAGGTCTACCAAACAACCAGTACCTCGAACCAGGTGGTAGGCTTTGAATGAACCTTTCCTCTTGTGCACGTTGTTCTTCCTCTTCGATGTCAATTTTATCACCACGACCGAAGACGCGGGGGCAAGTGGGCCTCCCTTGAATAGCATAATTTTGTTCCCCCATTTCAGGAACTATTCAGAGAAGGGTGCGTAAGGAGTGAGCCAAGTGCAAATAAGCTCACATAAAGTGCAAGACCAATACAGAAAGTGCAATCGCATAGAGAAGCAGGCAAGTAAGTAAGCTTGGAATAAAGAAGGGCATTATAAAACCAGCAGCCATGGCTATGATTAAATGTAAATGGAGAACATGCCAGAAAAGAGAATCAGAGTGAAAGAAAATACCTACGAAGGAAGGTGTTGCAGATACTGGTAGATACTGGAGGAGGAGGCTCTGGTAAGACGAAACCCTTCGATAGCGAAGAAGAAAATGCTTCAGGAACGATTCGGAACAGCAACAGAAGCAAATGAAAGATAAATGAGGCAAGTGGTGTGAAACGTTGAAATCAAAGGTTTAAACCCGCGAAAGCCAAAAGGCAGGGGTACTGAGGTAATTTTGCAGTAGACAAGACAGTTGAGGGACGTTTTGGCAGAGGCATTAAATGCCAAGACGGCGAGAAACGCACCACGCCACACGTCACGCCTATTAAGAGAGGGCACGTGGAAGGATAATCATTAGGAGGAAGGGAAACCGTTTCTCACTTCAGAGCAATCGTCAGATGGCAGTTACGCACAATCATATTCCGCGTTGCCGACATTTGTGTTTGCATCCGGGTTCACATGCTGGGTTTAAGATTGCGACCTACCTTAGACAAGGAGCTCGGCTATTAGGCGTACAGAGGCCAGGAGTGACTTCCAGGGGAAGTTTTCCCTCTCAAGGCTAGGCAAGGGAGCCGAAGTAACCAATCAGCCAGATGACCAACTTCCGAACTAAAGCATAGCAGTCGGACTGTACATCCCGGCAACCTGAAGACTCAGTCTACCGGGCTGGGGGGCAACTGTTATGGACCAGAGAAAGGCTCACGGCAATATGAAGCCCAACCAACGTCAGCCCAGAGGTAAGTTCTATAAATAAGACTAAAGACCATAGGTATGACAGATCTCTCTAACCCTATTTGATTGAAGACACGACAGTGCACACACACACCCCTTCTGGCTAAAGCCATCATATAGTGTGTAGTGATCAGCTGTCTCCAGGATACCTAATTCATAGGTATCTAGAGAAAAAGCTCTAGATCCAACATCAAAGACCCGACCTTCTGTCGGACATCTGCTTCAGGCAGAACAGCAAGCATCATCAATCAAAGCCTCCACTACTTCATAGAACTAAGGACATGAATTTTAAATTGCAATAAAAACATAAGCACGAAGAATGTTTGCATCACCTGCATGTCTATTTCTTGGTTAAGGAAAGATGCTTGACTGAGAATGGCAGAGAGTTTTAAGGCATACTCCCTGAAAACTTTGGTGCTGAAATCCCTCAAATTTCTGGATGCAAACTCTAAGCTTGCCGTCTTCCTTTGTTTCTTCCAAAGCTCACCATCAACATTAAAGATCCCATCTCCAAGAAGAACTTCCATATAGGAATGATACACTTCACCCTGCAGTTAGAATCACAAGCTTTTCCATCAAAATCATCAAATTATGCAAGTAAAAGAAATGAAATTTAAACAAGATTCAAACCTTTGGATAATTATTGAAGTTGGTCTTAAGTACATGTTCCACATTAGCAGGATCAGCTATGTAAGTGTAAGTTGTGAATGGCATAGGGACCACAACAGTTTTTGACTTGGACAAATATTTGACAAGCCAATCATGCATCCTATCATAGTTCATCAATTGTTCAATGGAAGCTCCAAGAAAGGGCCATGTTTTGGGGCCTAACTTGTTCCTTTGACTCCATCTGTGTATGAACATCCATCAAACAACCATGCACATCACTAGCACTAACCCTCCCATGTTGCATTGGTCCCTAAAGGGAGCAACTAATGCCTACCTCATCTCTTCTCTCATTTTCAAGACATGAAAAATGACCTGTATATAGAAGTCTGTTATGTCACGAAAGATGAATGTTGGAGTGATACTTAACGAGTATCTTTATATTAATTAGGGAGATTAGAGGTGGTTAAAATGTAGATATCTAACTGGTTTATTTTATATAAGATTTTAGCTATGTCTTAGCAACTATGTCACAATCTTTTAGTGCTTTTAATTTATGAATTTGTGAGATAAAGAAAAGCTTCATTTGTTTCATGCCCTTGACCTAAGTTTCCTAGAATTACTAATATGACAAGAGGGTGAGACTTAGGCAAGTCACTATCCACGTTACAGATACTGATATTTGCATTTCTGCTAAAAGGTTATTGGTTAATACCCAATTAGGAAGAAAAAAAAATTGATTAATTTTTTTTAAAAAAAAATCATAAACTTAATTGATTATTTTATATTACTTATTGACGAAATTAAATAAAAAAATTCATTGTGTTCTTTTTTAAGGTTTAAATTTTAAATAAACAAAATGTTCATTTTATAATTTTCAATCATTTAAAAAAAATGGTAGGATATACTTACCACAAAAAATATTTACCACCTTTATAACCAATTTAATCACCTTTGATTTCAATCAATCTAACAGACTATAATTTATTGAAAATTAATAATTAATTAACAAGTACAACCTAATAATTTTCAATAAAGTATAACCGTTAGATTGACGAAAATAAACCATGATTAAGTAGATTGTAAGAATGGTAAACATTTTTTGTGGTAAGTATATCCTTCCCCTTAAAAAAAAATTGTAAAGACAAAAAACAAAAATTGCAAAAAGATGGAAAGCTTGCCTTAACCTGTTTACAAAAAAAAAAAGAATGAAACTAAAAAATGGTACAGGATAAGGATAAAGTACATGAATCAGACGAATTGGTATCTGATTGTGACACGTAATAGAGAAGCTAGGAGCCTTTGGTTTTCCACAATTTTCCAGAGAATAACATGTGCAACCAAAAAGGACGTTTCCAGAACGTTTGGGCAATCACTCTCGAACCTTCTTCACTCATCATAGTTTTCTTCTATTTATATACATCCAAAAGTGGAAGATTCCTCAAACATTAAAATTCTCATTATCTTGGTCAGATTCTCGGGGCACAAGCATAGGTACATGTCAGAACATTGACTCACTATTCGTGTCCTATGATGTTTTTTTCTTTTTCTTTTTTCTCTGTCTCTTTCTTTTTGTAGTTGATGTTTTTATGTGGTTACCTTAATTGCTGTGTTTTGTGGTGGTTTCAGATTAAAGTAATAGTGGGTGACTTTGCTGTGAGAATTGGTGAAGATGAGCAGTGTTGGTGTGGATTTGGTTACTGCAGTGAACAACCTGTTAAATTTTCCTGAAACCATGGAAAATTTCATGTTTCCTTCTCGAGAGCATGACAACCAAAACACCAGAGGAGTTTCAATTTCTAGCTTCCCAGTGGACATTTTGGATACTCCCAAGGAATATATCTTCTACGTGGATGTTCCTGGTCTCTCCAAATCTGAAATTCAGGTGTACTTGAGAGAATTAAATTAAAGATTATTTTTTTTATGCTACTATTCATGATGAGACTTTTGTATGATAATATGCAGTATTATGTAAGCATGCATAATTTGTTGGTGATTTGATATAATGAAGTAGTGATTAGACATTTTTTTTTTTTGAAATAAGTGATTAGACATTTGTGTTCTGGTGTGATGTACTCATGAAATGTGGCTGCATTGCAGGTGACAGTTGAAGATGAGAACACACTTGTTATACGAAGCAATGGGAAAAGGAAACGTCAAGATGGTGAGGATGAAGGTTGCAAGTACCTTAGGCTGGAGAGAAGAGCACCACAGAAGTTGCTGAGGAAGTTCAGGTTGCCTGAGAATGCCAATGTGTCAGCCATCACTGCTAAATGTGAAAATGGGGTTCTGACTGTGCTTGTTGAGAAGCACCCTCCTGCTCCAAAATCAAAAACAGTTCAAGTTTCCATTGCCTGAATGATAATTTGTGTTGGGAGCTAGAGCACAGTGATTTTTTGGTTTTTTGTTTGGTTTTTCTGCTTGCTTAGTAGTGAAGGGCCTGTGTTTTTGCCCTTTGTGGCTGTTTAGGTGGCAATGTAATCCTAGTACTTTTGGTTCTTGTATTGGCTCTTGTTCCCATGTAATGAAATTTTTAGCTAGTGGATAAATAACAAAAGAACAATCTTCTCGCCAATATAGATGAAGACAAGAGCAATGTGCATAACACTTTGTAAGACTATTATAATTGTAAAACTTGATTTTAAGTCGAGCGAAAAAAATTATACATACCCAAATGATGGGTCCAAATTAAAGAAAGGAGCACTAGGTATATATAAAATGGATGAACACAAATATCAACTTCAATCTCGAAGCTAACATTCAATCTGGCCATAGTTCTCTATTATGAAAGATCAATTACCAAGGGAAATGAGCTGAACTTGACCAGATTACTTTTTCCTTTTCTTAGACTTGGGTTTTTTATGGGAAGGTTTTTTCTCGGTATGGTTATCTTCCATTAGATGCTCAAACTCTTCATAACTTGCAAATGGAGACACTGCACTCTTGCCACCACTCTTGCGCTTTCGTTTTCTTCTGTCAACTTTATCTTCATCAACATCAGAGGCATCATCAATATCTCCAATGTCAATATCATTGTTATCATCAGTGCCATCATCATCAATTGAAGCATCAACGTCTTCCTCTCCAATATCTGAGGCTATCTCCATCTCTGCATCACTAACATCACCAATCAAGTCCTCATCATCCTCATTGGCTACTTTATCCAAATCATCATAATCATAGCCACTTTGTGGTTCCAAAGATTGATCAGCAGTATCCAGCAAATTCTCAATCTCTTCATTATCACTCTCATCCCCACCATCAATATCGCTGCCATCAACCTCAAACAACTCCTCAGCAGCTTCCTCATCAGCTGATTTCTTCTTTTTCTTTTTCTTCAGTTTTGAAGAGGAACTCATTTTGTTGGTATAGAATTTCTGGAAGACAAGATCCTCTGGTGGTACATCTACTTCAGCTAATGAAAGAATTTCTGACCCAATCAAATGATTGTTGACGTCCATCTGCAAAAATAGGATAGAAATGAGGATACATTAGCAACAGAAATGATTGTGCTGAAAAAGCATGAATTGAAATGTTGATTAGTGAAAAAAAAAAAAACCACATTTACCATGCCACGTGCTTTGTTTTGGTTTCTTCTCCATGAATTTGTCAAGGAAAGCTGTTAAAGACAGGTCATTTAACGGGTTTCCATTATAGACAATGTTGGCCCCAGAAAGAAGAGTCCCTGCCATAGTAGCAACTGAAGGGTGTGCATGAGAAGCAAGTACCATTAACTCCCACCAACTTACACGGTCTGCATTGCTGTTGGGATGGACAAAGTGTGTAATTTATGATGTAGAAAGATAATTAGAAGGTGTTACAAACAGATTAAGAATATAACTCGGAAAAAAAAATCAATGGTTATTAAAATAATCTCTTTGACTACAACTTCCCCAAATGCAACAGCTATTTCAACTTGTTACCAGAATTGTGGATCACTTTTAGTTCCCTATTAGAGGAAAACATAGATATTATGGGCCTCATAACATTGTACCTATCCCCCCTTTTAGAAGTAATATGACACAGTTACGCAATTTATCTTAGCCCTGGTGCTTTGAACAAACAATCACAGAAATCTTTTATAATTTTTAGATATCAGATATGAGTTCTAATGTGAAAGCAAATCAAGCAAATTACCAATAAGAAGGCTCTCTGTGTTGCGGATCATAGCCTCCAGGCAGGAGTGATTTCTTGGCAGATTGCGGATCATAGCCTACAGACTTTGATTTCTTATCGTTTAAATCACTCTTTGCTAGCACAAAACCTGCATCCTCTGAAGCATCATCCGAATCATCATCTTCAGAAGATGCTGGAAGATCATCTTCATTTTCTGAAGAACCAGCGTCAGAATTGGCATCCTCATCATTCTGAACAAGTCCAATATCATCAATTTGCTTGTTTGATACAGTACTAGGTTCATTATCAGTTTCTTCTATAATATCCTCAAAGTGTTCAAGTTCCTCATCCATAGACTCATTCTGCAACGCCATGTTCCTATATGACAAGTGAAGATGAGTAGATGATTTTTTTTCTAGTCAAATGAGTAGATGGTCAAGTACTTGACTACCAATGTACACAGAATAGATAATTTCTTGCCAAATGTTATATATCTTTCACGTCCACAATTAATAATGGCAATGACATAGAACAAACAATAACCAGCCTTACCATAAAGGTGGCCTGGCTTTAAGGAGTTCAGAAAGAAGGAAAAGGCATGCACATGCATATTGTGGTGGTTGCTGAAGTGCAAACTGAATGAATAAGAATCAATAGTGTTATCTTGTAAAAAAAGAAAGGTAGAGAAAGTGCAGTTTAATAATCACCTGTAATAAACGTTTAGAAAATGCAGCCACACGCTTTAAAATGACATCTCTTTTCATTGCTCTTAGAAGAAGTGCAATAAACATTTCTGCCTGATAACGAACGAGTTAGAAAAAAAAAAGTCTAGAGAGGAGAGGAGTGAAGAAAAGCACAAGCATAAGCATTTTGGGTCAAAAGGTAAAATGTAAAAAGAGATTGCTTGCCTTGGATGTATTCATGACTGCAGGAAGCAGAAGTTTGGAGTACAAAGCACGGTAAAAACGATCACTGGCTATCTGATTCTTCGATGTAATTTTATCAAGAAGCATCAGTGCTTGAACTCCTACATTAAAATTCTTCGAATGAACCTGCAAGTTTGCAGCTTTTGTTAAGACATCTAGCAACCAAAATCAGGTATGAAATACTGCACGCAGAGTTTCAAATGTGTTATCAATCAGTAATATTACCAATTGGAAAAGTACTGGCGTTTGAACATCAACAATGTCATCAGCTTCATTACTTGAGACAAAAGGAAATGCTCTATTCAATCCCTGTAAGAATATCAAATGGGAAATAGCAAAAGATTGTAAAATTTAGGACAAAGGTTGCTGAATAGTGAATACCCAGATTATGACTGAGTCTGACATGTTAAAAAATTTCACAATCATTAATCAAAATCATTGCATATAATAATACTATTATATAATTATACATACAGTTACGAGAGCCGATAGAAGCCGAGAGTCCAATTCCGCATGTAATTCTGATAACCCTTTTGATTTTTCCTCCTTAGCATTTGCCTTGCCATTTTTATCAAACTTTTGATTGCTGCTTGCAGCAGTGATCAAAACCTGCAGAACTCTAATTGTGAATGCATTTTCCCCCCATTTCACCTATTTTCTAAATATTGAGAACCGCACACTGACATGACATTTCAGTTTGAGAGAAGCTTAAAGAAGGAAGGATCTTAGGGAAAACCAATACCTTAAATAGTGCAAAATATACATCTATTAGACGTTTTGCCACTTTTGGTCCATCTCCTTTATTTGTGAGACGGATTTGGCTCAAGAAGTTAACCTGAAAATGTAGAAAAGGCAGTCAATGAGATTCTTCAGTCAAACCATGTCTAAATGGATTTGGATAGAGTCAAAGTTTTAAGTTAAAAGGTCATCTAAAAATTGAAGGGTCGCCATTTATGTAGCTACAGAAAAGTGATTTCAGACAGATATATTCTTGCAGTGCACAATATTCTCATTTAACAAATCAACAAATGATTACTCAAATAAATTTTAAAAGTCTGAAATGTCACAAGATCTAGTATTTAAGATCCCTTTTGGGTGTGTTGTAGGATACCGATCTGAATGATAATGACACAAACAATGATGAACAAACTTTAAGAAACATACTATGGCAGATAAAACCACAACTTGTGCTTTTCTGTGCCTAGTATGTAACAATTAAAAAACAAGAAGCTTGTCGCATTTTACTTTGCTTTGAAAGATATAATAATAACATAAACAATAAAAAGTTTAGGACATACAGCATGGTACTGTGCACGTGGTCCTAAGTGAGGCCGAAAAAGAAAAGAATCCACCTCGCCAATAACCACAGCCTGCATAAAAAGGGGGCAAAATAGTAAAGAAACAAAACATATACAATTAACAAGAAGCAATTGCATCAGCACCTAAAACAAATTAGGAGGAAAATAGGAGCCTTCACGTCAAATATATGTATCATTGTCAAATCTCACACAACTCCAAACCAAAAAGGAAATAGTCAATATCTTCTAAAAGAGAAGGAAATGGAAAACAAAACAAAAGAAACCATATGAGGCATGCAAAGCTTTTCAGCTTGTAATTTTTGTTCAAGAATATATCTATTTCCTGGTAACATTGATAATATGTAAACATTGGCTGAAACATAAATTATTGACACTCCCAAAACCAAATTAAAAAGGTTGATAAATAATCATACCTTCATATTTGGGTGGTCAGACAGAAGGTTGGACAAGTGAAAGTCAGCATTAGATGCAGCCTTAGAATCTGGAACCCCAAGCTGAAGAAATTCCAAGTCCCCACCCACCAGCAAAACAAAAGAAAAAAAGCAAAAGTTAAAAAAAATAAAAAAAAATCAGAGAGTGAGTTTAGTAAACAGCTGGTATTAGTTCTAGCAAGTTCACTAACCACCTAATATGACAAGACCAAATGAAGATCAAACATGTCCAATTCAGATAGGTCATGCTTAATGTTAACTCACTTTATTAACAAGTGCAGAAAGTAGTTTGCGCTCTTGCTCTGACTTTCTACTCAATAGCACGTGTATGGCCTGCAAGCAACAAAGGAAAAAGGAACCCACACAATATTTAATAATTGATTCACTTGATATATCTCAAAACATGTCTTCACACCTCACATAACATGCATAAAAACAAAAAAGAAAACCATAAAATGCAAGGGTATATTTTAAGTTTCTAAAATAAAAAACAAAGAGAAAGAAAAAAAATTAGACAAAGTGTGAACAGAAAACCCACCTTCAGTGCCTTGTTTTTTAAAGCAGGTAGCAAGTCTCGGGATGCTTCTTCAAGTGCAACAATAAATCGTTCATATCTGAGACATCAGAAGCTATTACATAGATCACTAAAAAAAAAAGAGCTTGGGTCGACAAGGACAATACACTGTCATTGAAATTTGAAAATTGGTAATATTATGATTGCTCAAGCAAATATTAATTAATGTGATGT